TCCGATTTCACAAAATTAGTACTATGGAGTGACCTGCAGAATGGCTAGACCTTTATCGAATAGAACACCATTGTATAGATATTAAGAAAGGAGAAATGCTAAGCCGAAAAATTCGGAAAATATTTCAGTGTCTAAATGACGCTCTTTTATAGCCCACTTAAAGTCCAGATGTGTCGAAGTTATCAAAAATATTAGGGGAGCCAATTCATATAAAATGTAAAGGCCCAAGTGTGGGTAAAACTATAAATCTTTTGTTGAAATTAACTTTCGTGCATTTGTTTGTATGTGTGTTTTTTCCGAATAACGGATTTTCGATTTTCGATTTATCTCAACAAGCAACCAGAACAACAAAATAGGGAACATAAAATAATTAAATCATACAGGGTGCGCCATCTTTTATGTCGGTATGTAAACATTGAATATCTTTGAAAATAAACAACCGATTTTAAAGTATGAGATATTTTTATTTAATTTGGTTCTGTACAATTTCTTCAGTCAATCGGTTCACTAATGACAAAGTTATTCAATATTTACATACCGACATAAAAGATGGCGCACCCTGCATATAATATAAATAATATATGTATTATTATTAAATATATACAATTATTATAAAGTGATTCCAACAATTTTATGGAACGTTCACTTTTCACTTTTGTTGTTCTTATTTTTTAAATGTTCATTCCATTTATGGGCAAATATTGCAAACTCGTTATTTGGTTTCTTTTTTTGCGGCCGTATACTTCGGAGAATTTTCCTAATGTTCCAATTCGAAGTGAATGAAAATTCAATGATCCTCAGAATCAATGCCATTTTATGGGCGACTGACTGTTTACACAATATCAAGCAGTGCCCCCCCAATATTGAAACATAAAATTGTTGCCCCAGCTGAATATTAACTTGTAAGCCTTGCTGCTGCGACTTCACGACTTTTTAACCAAAAGTTTATTGCTCAGAGGAATTGCGGCCCAGTGAGCGACAGAAAGCCATAAATATATCATGAAATCAAAAACTTTGCCACAACTTTTGGCAATGCTCTTTGCTCAGCAGGTTTCCTTTTTATATTGGCGGCATGGCACGCTGCTTCTTCTGTTGCCCCTAAACTTGCGTGTAAACGTGCAGCAAGGGGAGCACCTCAAAGCTCGAGCGCGCCCACACGAGGGGCTTCCACAACAACATGGCTACAACAACACAAAGCAGAGTAATGCGTTTCCGTTTCCGTCTCTGCCATTTGGTCATGTAACCCACACCGCTCCACACGCTTGCCACTTTTTGATGCCAAAACTCACTTGTCGGCATCCTTCCTGCACACATACATACACACACGTACCTATGTACGTGTATATACATATATACGTGTATTTCTTTGGCCAAGTCAATTCAATAAAAGTTGTGTCCATTTAATTTAAAATTCTCTCTCTTGCTGCCGACATCCTGTGCGTCGTCCACTCGTATTTTTGCCTTTCGCACTCGCAAGTTTACTTGCAAATTAATGGCGTTAAAATTAGAGCCCGAAGGTGAAGCAGCCAGCAGTCTGGCTGCCTCTCTGTCTTTCTGTCCATGAAAACTTTGCCGTTTCCTTGGGCTATTTTGGTGTCTCCTTTTCTTTTTAGTACATATTTGTTTCTTTTTTTCTGTGGCAGAGTTTATTTGCTTGTCACTTTGTGAAAATTATGCGCCCTTGTTGTTGCTTTGCTTGTTAGGCATACGACACGTGTAAATGACAGACACTTTAATGGCACTTTTATATTGCAGATTAAGCCATTTTAAAGTTTTGCGTATAACTAACCTGTCTTTCCTCCTTTTTGGTCATTTAACAGCGCCGCCAGTGGAGGAGCTTCGAGTCCATCGAGAGCCCCAGGAGCGGGAACGTCGCTTTTTTGGCATACTCCGTGCTGTCAAACGTAAAAACGGTAAGCGGAAAAGAATTCAGTCCTAATGAAACCAATTAAGCAGCTGCCAACTTTGGCCGCACGCCTTAGGGAGGGGGAAGCCAGGCATCAAAGGCCAGACAATGGGTAAACAGAGGGGGGACCGGGCCTTCAATTACACCTCCAACTCTCCAACTCTCCAACTGCAACCGACGACCGACTGTTGTATTCAATTACAAGCTGAAACAATTTTGAAGCCGTGCACACACAGTCATTGAAATGGATCATATTTGTTGCTCTTAACTGGTGGGTCAGTCGTGGCGCCCTCGAGCTGCACCATATGCGGAGCCATTTGCCAAAATCAATACATTTAGTATTTGAAATACTGCCTAGAGGGCAACCTGTTCCTGAAAGTCAATGATTTGCAATTCCCCATGCATGTATGTACGAGTGTGCAGCATGAGTGTACTATGTATTTAGGTATTTTTTGAGCATTTGAATAGATTTTCTGTGGACGTGCAGTCAAACAAAATATCTTCACTCTGCTATTATGTGTATCGTCTATAGTCCATAGTTCGTCCTCTGCCGTATGCCATATAGCCGTGGGCAGCTTTCTGCATCAGCCACACTTCAAATATGTGCGCAAAGGCTTTAAAATTTCAATAACGTCACAAAGCAGCTGAGAGACAAAGCCGGGGCTCAACTCATCACCGCAAGCAGCTGCCAGCTTGCAGCTCAAAGCTCATAGCTAGATACAGCTCAGTGGTTTATTGACTTTGTTTAAACGAGTGCAGGCACAAGAAGAGTAGACCTTCCTTAAACGAATTCAAAAATAGAAATACAAATTAAGAAAAACTTGAATGAACAACTTCGCAATTAGTACTAAATAAAAGCCGAGATATTCAAAAGTAATAGAAACCTTTCTGCATTTTATTTATTACATTAATTTAGTTTCTATTACTTATAAAATACTTCTTTCAGTTTTCTTGAAAGTGAAAGAAGTATTTAATTGGCGCTTCTTTGGGGGATCTAAATACATACATACATACATACATTTATAAACATTTATAAACATACAGCCCACATCTTAAAAGAGCTGTAAAAAGGCGATTTTTGTAATTGTACAAGGGTACTCCGAAATATTTTTAGCCTGACAATAAAAGAATAGTTTAAAAAATTTCAGCATAATCTCTTTCTAACTCAACATACTTTTTTCAACACCTCCAAAATGTATTCATCGTCTCAAAATGGTTGTTTACGAAGGTAGTAACTCCCTTAATTGATACAAATTTCTGTCCTCCAACTTTAAACTTGAGGAATAAAAAGAAGTCTCTTGAGGCTAGATCTGGAGATTAAGAAGGGTGCTGACGCAGTTCAAAACTTATGTAGACATCTTGGAGGTCTCAGCTATATCTCTTACTTTGATTCGGTGGTCGTCCAGAACCCTTTGGTGATTTATTACAATGTTTTCGTCATGTATCTCATCTTCTATGCTCGCACGTTCATGTTTAGATTCCGCTGACGAGGACTTAATAGTTGCAAATAATGGAGAAGAGTGCCCATAGACAACGTCCATCTAGTTTTGGATTTGCGCACGGTATTAAACTTTATATATTTTTACAAGAGCCCTGACATAGATAATTGATGGATGTGCGATACCTACAAGTATAATATCGATATGGGTGAAACTTTGGAGAATTTACAGAAACTAGCGGATCATAACTAGCCAATAGCCACAGTCTAGATGGGATTTGAATTATATCTAATTTCGGATCTCAGTATTGGGCTTCGGATATGGATTCCAATATCGCGATGCCATTTGGAAGATCCGCGCCTAATTAAATTATGTTTCTGCTATCAAAGCTTCACTGTGAACATACGAGTATATGACACAGATTAGTCACATTTAAGCTCCTAAAATCTTTATTGGGTGCAACAATGTTGCAGCAGCCTTCGGACCTCTCCTCTGTTGTATTGCGTGAGCGGCACGTGCGATTAATATCGCTGCATTTAAATGTCATTACCACTTAAATGGCCTTAAATGGCCACATTGATCTCCAGGGACCACTGGCAACTGGCGCAACGTTGGCGCCACCCTGGGTCTGGCCACCCGTTGCTTCGACTGCCGCCTGATTTAGCGCGCCTGGCGAGCGAGGAAGCCAACAGCCAGACAAGCAATGGTCGTGCAGTCAGACGCATTTATCATCTGCCCAATGACACGCTGTCGCCTTCAATTACATTCGAATTATTTCGAGAGCAGGCATGGCAAGAATGGCGGCATTTTGGCACCTGTGCTGAGAGACTTTAAGTCTGCGAGTCTGCCCAGACGGTGAGTGATCAATCTAGTTTATGTCAGACACTTTTCTAGCTAGAATGAAATCTGCTGCCCCTCATTGACTGACACTTTAAATGGATGGCAGCCTCGCCAGCTCTCTAGCTCCAGCTAACTACTTACTAGCTGAGCTTCTAGCTTTGCAATCTTTATCTGAAGTTTATCTCGCACTTGTCCATCTGTCGATCTCAATTGTCCACCATAATGTTCTATGACGGAGCACTCCAAGTAACTCAAGAGCTATGCAAATATTCCTTCGTGGCAAGCTGCCCTTACCCTCGCACTCCGCACCCTCTGCCAAGTGGATTTGCGTGGCTGACCACATCAGCCAAGTAACAAGTTTCTTTGCATATCTTCCTTCTTCATTCTTTGCTTGCTCCTCCACGCTTTTAATTACACAATATAAAAACGGATTCGGCGGCATTGGGACACTCGGCAACAAACAAAGCGCCATCCCGAACCCAGACCCCTGGCCCGACGCCAACCTTGTGCTTCGACGGGCTCGCTGGCTGTCAAGGCAAAGACAACTTCATAGAATGAAAGTTTTTCGCCAGGAATTTACACAAGGCTGGCGACAAGACTCAAACAATTTTGTAATTACTTTGAACTCACGGCTCGATGGCGGCATCTTACATGCAAATTCTAGCTTGGAACCACTGCCGTTCCCGTCTTCTTTCAGTTGGAATTTTATAATTAAGCAGCCTGCTGGTAGGCATTGGTAATGGCAATCTGGCAAGCTTTTCGCACGCTCTCTTTATTCGCATACACATACACAGACACAAACACAAACACACAAATCACATCCAGGCATCGCGCACATCACTAACATCGATGAACTCGTCCTCCTCCTCGGGATAGTCCTCGTCGTCATGGCGAGAATAATGATTAAATATCATATCTTGATGTCCGGGCATTAGTTTGCCGCTCTCACAGCCGTGCATGTCCTCGTAGGTGATTTCGCCGTGTCCCATGCCCATGCCCATGCCCATGCCCATGCCCATGCCGATGCTGCCATGTCCCATGCCCATGCTGCTATGGCCATGACCGCCAGAGGCACCACCTCCATGTGCCGAATAGCCGAGTACCTTGTAGACAGTCTGCTTGATGCCGCCACCCCCCACCGCCTCCACCAGCAGAGTGCAACACTTTGTAGACGGTGTGCGTGTGATGATGGGTCTTCATCTTGACGGGCACGTGTATGATGAGACGTCTGTGCGAGATGCGTCTTGCCTGGAGCAGCGAAGCGGTCAGCAGCAACAACAGCCCCCAAACATTACGTCTTATGTGCAGCTGCAAAACAAAGGCAATAAACACTAAGCCACTAGATACGTGTATGTGAAGGACTATGCTTCTAAACAATCACTTATGTATGTACATAATACTGTTTTTACACGATTTAAAAATTCAAAATTGCATATATATTTCTTTAGCGATAAGCAACCAATCACCTCTTTTTGCATATGATCAATGTCTTCTTATGCACGGTTGTTAGAATTATGACGAATGACGAATGGATGATTTGACTCATGAATTTTATGAATTATATATAATAATTGCTTATCACACTTTCGATCTTTTAAATAAGACTCACTCTTGTCACATTGCGGTGGGCAGCAGCCGCTGATTGCCTGCCCATTGTTAAGTAACTATTATCCTTTCCTTTCCGGATCAAAGATGCGCCCACTCTGCCCGCCACTTCGCTCACAATCACTTCTTGTACTGGCTGGGCCAGTTGGCATCGTCCAACTTTTTATATCAACCTGGCTCGTTTGCGTTCACAGCGCGCAGGTTCAGTGCACCATGGCCGCTGCATGTGGTATGCAGTCTTATTGTCTTGCAGCGCATGCTTACTCCACATCATCAACATCAACATCAACCGTCACATCCACATCCACATACACATACACATACAAATCGACAGCAACATCATTATTAACAGCGCGGCCGAGTGTCGATCGCATTTCATGTCGGACAAACAGACCACAGACTCCGCCGCCACCTTCGCCTTCGGCTTCTTCAACGGCATTGCCAATATTTGCATGCCCCACAGTCCTCGGCACGTCCAACGGTGGCTTACGTGTATTTAATTATTATTTACAACTTCAACTCCAACTGCTCATTCATGCGCTCCACGAGCGTAACAAGCTAGCTGAACAATATTCGCCGCAGCTTCTTCTCGTCTAATGTGACAAACAGTGGTTCAACAACAAATAATTGTAATCAGGGGCTCAACAAATTGGTTGGCGTTCCGAATACTAATATAGTAGTGTACAAGCAATTGCACCTTTTCCAATTTAGTTTTATCCAACTCTGATTAAGATTGTTGACTCATATTAACACATGAACCACCTCATATGTTTGCTGGGACTATTCTCAAAAAAGTGTTAGCTTAAAATAAACTGAAGGCAAGCTATATACGTCTGTGCCAAAACCATATACCTTTTACTTTGGCTCACAATAAAATCATAAATCCTTTAACGCCATGGGCCGCCAATTATCTATAAACCTTACAGAGTCTGTTCTATATATTGTTCACCAGAAAGTATTTGATCTCTTTTCTGCATTTGCTTATCCGTGGTCAACTTTCATGATTGTTCCTTTGACAGCTATATCTCTTACATTTTTTCTTACATTACATAGCTTTAAATTGTACCAGAAGTAGTGACGGATGTGTACAAAGAGATTTATTATATATTCTTGATCATGACGTCGCCGTCTATAATGAAGATACGTCATCAGATAGCTTTTTAAAGTAGTATAAATTTTATGATAATTATGAATAAATCGTTTATCAACAAAATATAACCTGTCGAAATAGATTAAAATATACTTTCTTTAAATTTTAAGAAAGGAAAAGATAATCAAGCCTTAAAAATAGTTAGACAATATACAATAATGTCCGTTATAGGAGAAAGGAAAATCTCCACGCCGGTCGGGAACAAGCTATCCCTGACTCTACAGGGGTTAAAAGCTTCGCCGGAAATTATTATACAACAAAAACTTTTTATAGAAAGACACTTTTATCGAAAGTAAGTGAGAAAAATCATTATAATTAGAGCTATAAAAAGTGTAGTTAGTTGTGCAACTAGACAAAATCAATTAATTAATTGGTGGTTTACAAAGAACTGCAAAATTAAGGCGACCTAAAAGGGCAGAGGAGTCTACTTCACCAATATTCGCCCTGTGGAGAAGAACGACACAAACAACAGTTCTATGGGTTGTTAGTGCTGGAAGACTTAGAAGCAAAGCTTGCTAGAATACGATGGAAAGTGAACGTTTTAATCCTATCTTAAGCGTAAAAAAAATAGAAATTGCTTCTCTACCGACTCACTAAGTTCCTTATTCTTCTATACTGCGAAAACCAAACGCATGAGCAGTATTCCAGCACAGGACGTACTAGAGAGGTGTATAGAACTTTTGTAGTGTGAGGGTCATTAAATTCCTTGGACCGATTTTTAATGAATCCAAGTACAAATTGGACCGCTACAAATTAGGTCTGCGATACTGTGCATCGACTGTTATTGGAGCTGGCAGGCCGCTTCCGTTTTGCATAGAGTCGCTGCCATCAACGGCGCTTGAGCAGCTATCGGTGGCAGTTGGTGTTAGCTGAGGAAATTGTAAGGCGCCCCGCTGGAATTCCACTTAATGTGCAGGCAGCATCGCTTTGTGCAACATTTTATGCAATCGCGTTTAATGCGGAAAAGACATAGATTTCCATTTCACTTGATGGACGATATGTGGTAGGTAAATGGATTGCTGTGGCGACTGCAATTAGACGGCCAAGCCATATGTTGCGTATAATGGGCCCATTAGGCGACCACTTTCATTTACATAGGCACGCACTCCTAACTTGGATACTGGCTCACCTACTTAGTTGGACCGCCAAGTGGCACAATTCGCAGGCAGCTCACATGTTGGACACACTCCGATTCTAATATCTGCCACAATCTTGAACCAAATAATATTCTGACTAATGGAACGAGCAAAAGTTTTTGGCAATGCTCGGCAATAAATAAACTCAACGCGTTGCAGAAACGTGCCCCATGAATATCATAACTTTATGGCAATGAGCCATTTTAATTGTCCTAAAACATGCCGCTCTCGACGTGCCCACGAGCTCGCAGTGCAGCCTGCAGGATAGTGCTGTGTCTGCCCCAATGTGAAAATGTGGAAATGTGGAAATGTGTGTTTGTGTACGCACTTCAACGAGCACTAATAATTTTGATCAACTTTTATAAGCCTCATCAACGCAAAGTAAGTGGAGCACGCGAGGCGGGTGGGGCAGACGGTGCACCCCAAATGAGGAAGACCACCAGATGCCAGTTGCATGGCTTAGTTGTTTGCGCTGTCGTTGCTGGGCCTAGTCGTAGGCAACCATAAACTGCAGGCCAAATTGCCAAAAAGCACACACAGACATGTCCAAAAAGTTGCTCATTTCAGCCGGAGAACTAACAAGTAATGGTTGGAGAGAGAGAGAGAGAGAGAGAGGGAGACGGGAGCCTAAGCGAGAAGCTTCCGGAATGCTGCAAATAAAATGAAGCGCGGATAACCAAAACCCCTACGGAACTAGGGGGAGCCAGGCCTAGCCGTACTCGTAAATCCTACGGCTGCTCTATAGACATAACTTGCTCAGCTTTTACAACCAACCCAACCACGAACCCCATCCAGCACTATGCCTCTACCGACCTTTTTTATCGTAGTCCTCTCCGTCAGCAGCATCGCTGCCATCGCCATCACCAGCCAAACCATCCAAACCATGCCCAGCTCAACCAAACTCGTAAATTTGGGAAATTACAACATGAAAGTCGCAGGCGCCCAACTAAGTAAATGCGTTGAGCGGCGCGCAACTCTAAATTAAATAAAATTGGGCGGCGAGAGGGTGTGGTTGGGCCAGACCTGGTCTGCTGGACTTGCGAATATACACGCAGACCAGCTGCGGTTGTGTGTTGATGAGAATTTTGGGTGGTTCGGTTAAAAGTTTTTGCACCTGTTTCGTGGCTGTGGGTGGCTGCTCGTATCTGGATTGGGTAGAACAAGTGGCTCCGTTAATTATAGCTGCCTGCTGCAGTAACCATATTTCCCACAAAAGTTGCCAGAGTCTCTCTGAATTGGCAGACGCATCAGATTTGTGGCCGAACAAAGTTTCGCCAGGCGCTTGAGATTTATGTCAAACTAAAGTACTTGATAGTTGGCGTTTAATGGCTGTATTATTGCAGTTTCAAAACTGTGGCATTGAATGGCTCATATATATTGTCAAGTGGCCAAGTTGGCCCTTTCAACAGATAATAACCCATCAACTTCAATATTATACTTGTACGCAGTAACCAAGACTGACTTGAAACTAACTTTTTTCACCACAGAAGCGTATACTTTGCTCACAAAGCCTATATTGTACATACATATACATATATGATCGTTTGGAGGTGTATAGCTCCCAAAAATAACGTATCTAAAGCACAATCAGACTGAGGGCAAGACTCCAATAAATCTGGATCTATTCAGGTTAAGTGTAGTGACTGCAGTTAAAGCTACGTGAGCAAATGAGACATTTGAAAGAATTGGATGTAATGGAATTTTCAAGGACTCTTTTTGTTTGGTCAGATTAATTACACCCTGTACCCATACGGTATAAAGGGTATATTAAGTTTTTTGCAGAGTATGTAACATGCAGAAGAAAGCATCTCCAACCCCATAAAGTATATACATACATATACATACCAGCGATGCTGGTGATGGAGAGGACTACGATAAAAAAGGTCGGTAGAGGCATAGTGCTGGATGGGGTTCGAGGTTGGGTTGGTTGTAAAAGCTGAGCAAGCTATGTCTATAGAGCAGCCGTAGGATTTACGAGTACGGCTAGGCCTGGCTCCCCCAGCCGTGCATTCAGATTAGCACCTTAACAATAAATTTTTACAAATATAAAATAGCCCAACCTCGAGCACTTCCGCGCGAGGATTAATAAGTTAGTGGTGGATTATGCTTATCTAAATGTTTTGAAAAAACCTAATCCTTTCAGTCTTCGCAAAGGTCTAGCAGGAAGGAGTCCTCTTGCAAGCAAACTGCGGCCTGTCACTGTATCTACTTGTATGCCTTCCAATCTGCTCCCTCCTTCTGTATAAAGGCTGGAATAACCAAAATTGGTATCCAGATTCTCGCAGGACGAGTTTATTTTATTTTTTTAATTTTGCCACCGCTACAGAATTTTGTCAATAATGTCCACATTTCAAAAGCAACATAAATCAAACTTTACACGCATAATCTATATACAATTATCTACTTTTGTTTTTAATTTCATTTAAATCCGTCCATTCCAAAAAAAAGTTATTAGCGAGACAATTTCAATCCAGTACTACGCTCACAAACTGTAGAATCAATATTGCTGTTCTTCTTTTTTTGCTTCTGCTAGGGGCCGGAAGTTTGTCTAGTTACAGGGTTTGCTCGATGGAGCATTCTACCTTGCTTCAATTCTATAAACATACCACTGCACATTCTATAAGCAAGATATATAAATTCCAATTATAACACATAAGAAGATTAGGGGGTCTTAATATGACCCCGAAGACAAATTAAAAGAATTATTCCTTTGTATTAGTAATTAGATCAAACAAATGTTACATTTAACTGATACGTTGATAA